CTAACTTGAAAACTACGTGCAGCTAATCTATTCATTATTATGATTAAAGTGTTTGAAAACAAGATACAAAAACTTGCAGACCAGGAAAATTGAAAAAAAATGTTGAAAAACAATCTATTAGACTAAGGTACTGCTGGTCAAATTTCACAAAACAAAATTGTAATTATAGTACAGTATGCCATAAAGAGCTGATGTGAATTACAGTATATTGACATAGGATCTACACTGAGGCATAAATTCAGATTTACTGCAGAATTCTGTAAACTTGAACTTGATGTACCATTACCGTTTGAATAACCGCCCCTCTTAACGTTAAAATTAAGCGCCCCGTTCGAATAAGCGCCCCCTTCTAATTTCAATAATATCATAAGAAGTCAATAATCCAATCAATCCTGGGACTGTGGTTGTTGGCATGATTCGAGCTGCAAAGTTGAAACACATTCTTCTTAGGTCAATATCAAAATGAGGATATTTTTCTTGGACAGATGAGAGCTCCGATCCCTGGACAGACAGATATTTCCAACTTTACTCTTTTTACATATTTGTCTATACGGTACCTATGGTCCTACTCCTCTTTTTCTTTTTCCCGACCTTTAGCACATCATCTGAGCTTTCAAAAAAAAAATACAAGGATCCTGCCATCCTGCTAATCTCAATCGGCCGACGGCTAACAAGCTAAACCCACCACCACTAATTGCATCTGCTATTTTGCTGTTGTAAATATTCACTCATTCTTGTCATGAGCCATGTTCTCTGGACGATTCTCTTTTTTACGCCTAACCACCATTCGTAATGTCCTTATATAATATTTTTTCATTCAAAAAGTGCCTCTTGAATTTAATAATTTCGGATAAGAACCCCTCGATTTCCACTGTTTTCATAAGCGCCCCTCAGAAAGTACAAAAAAATATTTTAAGCGCCCGGGCGCTTATTCGCGCGAGTACGGTAGCTTGGTGATTGAGATGCTGCCTTCCAATCTCTGGGTCTCATGGATTCAAACAAATTTACAACACAGAATTTTTCTCACAACAAAATATCTTCAAAATCAATATTTATTTATGCAAAGGAATTTACAATTTTAAATGGATAAAAAGTTACGTGTATTTCAATACTTGGATTATGTATTATACTTTCTTATCTGAGATTAATCAGTGGACCTTTCGGTTTTTATAAAAAGTTACCATACAAACAAAAAAATTCAAAAAGTGTATGTACATTACAAATTATATAATCGGTATCTTTGTTAAAAAAAAAACCTCCTTCATAAAAAATACATTAGTAGCAAAAAGCTCAATTGGCGTATTTTGTACAAAAGGAAAACAAGAACGAGAAAAAGCAAAAACATCACATTAAAACAATACAAAAGCAAACCCAAACCATCGGTTTAAAAGTTCACTACGTTAAAATCGCACAATTTGAATTTTCCAATTAATTTCATTAGATAAGTGATGGGGCTATTTTAAAGACAATACATAAAGTGAACCCAAACCATCAGCTCAAAATTTCACAACGTTAAATACAATTGCAAAATTAAATTTATTCTTCAATTAATTTCATTAGATAAGGGATGGGGCTATTTTTAAAACGTTCAGTTCTAGTGACTAAATCTTTTATCGTTGCTAATTTTTTTAGCAAACGTTTTGCATAATAAAATCCTATGTTGTGCGAGTGATTCCAGCCCAAGTTTTTCGAGAGCATCCTGATAGTCAACATAATTGTTTACAAGAATGGACCGACATACACGTTTTTGCACCCTTGGTTTAACCGACTGCAAGAGTGTGTTTCTGGCATGACTTGGACTCGATGTACAATACACAAGTTAAATTTGGTGGTCCTGCCTTCCATTCCCTGGGTCTATAGACTCAAATAAATTTACAACACAGGAATTTTTTTCATGACAAAATATCTTCAAATTTAAATTAATATTTATTTTTATCAAAAAAAATTTACATTGCTTTTACACCATATTTCAGCAGGATACACTTTTCAACCAAATGGTGTTTTTTTTTACAAAAAAATTGTGGTAAAATGTACAAACGAGAAAAGAGCATCCAACACAACTTTAAAAGGATTATAAATACAGCCCACTGCTTACTTTTTTTTTTCATTATTTGTATGCTTGTGTGTTTTTGTGTGTGTGTGCGTGCATGCGTGTATGTATGTATGTATTTGTATTTGTGTGCCTATGTGTTATGTATGCATGTGTATATTAATAATAATTATTAGGCCTACTACGTCGCATGTGACTGATTATCTGCTGGTCATGCCTTAATGTTTTTATAACTTACTATGTCTTCCTTTCACACCAATACTTTACCTTATTTAATGATTATTGCTGTCTATTATTTAAGATAATAACAATACCAATACATTATTTTCCCATTATATTGTATAACTTATTTCCATTGTGTGAAAAACCAATAAACAGAACAAACAGAATAAACAGAACAGATTTTTTTCAAATGTTTTTTTCCATAAAAATCTTGTTTTAATGTATTCCACATAAATGTACCCCTGTATGATATCAATCAAATCTTAAATTCTGTGGTTTTAGTGAAAATAAACATAATTTAATGGTATACTTGTTATAAACCTGCAGTAGGTACAATTAAAAATTTGAATAGGAAAAATGTCCCTGTAAATTAATAATTTATTTGATCCTTTTAAATGGGCTGTACAAAATTTATTTGCTCTTTTTAGATAAGAGTTTTGGTATACAAAGATCATTAACTTTAAAGGCTTTTAAAGTTAAAATTCAGTTCTACAATATAATTGCATGTATGCCATGACGTGTATAATCAATAAAGTCTACTTTACATTAAATTTATATTCCAACGTGGTACAAAGATTGTGATAAAATATACAAATGACAAAAGAGCACACAACAACATTTCAAAAAGACTATCAGTACGCTCTACCACTTACTTATGTTCTTACATTCACCAAATGTTTTTTTTTGTTATCAAAAGTCTTGTTTCAGTGTATTCCATATTAATCACTTCTTAAATTCTCTGGTTGGTAATGGTAAACATAATTTAAAGGGTCTATTAATTCCTCAGTGAACATTTTTAAAACAACTATGATTTGAAAAATGTCTCATTTCTTTTAGATCTCTCATACTAAATGCTAAGCTGATTCTTCAGAAACCTACAATCGCTCTTAAATTCTGTGGTTGGTTCTAGTTCTGGTTGGTTACTACCCAACAACCATAACATAGGGGTTCACACAGGTAGGGTTGATGGTGGCACCTTCTAAGTGGTACAGTGTATGGAGTACATGCAATTTTAGTTTTATCGCTGAGTGGTTGGAACATCAGTAGCAAAAAGGATATGGTTATTTAGTCGTTATTATGATTATTATTACTATTTATTAACATTTTTATTAAATTCAATTATTAATGCTCTTATGCTATCATTATTCATTAAAATCATTAGATATTTTTTTATTTTCTTTGATTATTGATACTCTTCTTATTATCATTATTATTACTATTACACTTATGATTGTTATTGGGTCCACTAGTGGGGTTAATCAATCAAGTAATAAATAAACAAATACATAACAATAATTAAATAAATAAGTAACGGCAAAACAGACTTACTCATCCTCCATCAAAATGCTTTTCAATGGCAGTCTTAAAATTTGATTGTCCTACAGTAGATGGTAATTACGGATTGCAGCAAATAGTTCCAGTCAACAAGTGTTTGAGGTAAATACGAGTATCTAAAACAGTCCTTGTTAGCTGTAATGTATGTGTTGGCAGGGTTTGATTTCTGCAGTTAGCCTTTGAGATGGCCGTATTATAGGGATAGCTAGTTGACTTGCAACTGCTTGGGGGAATTAACCAAGACGACTTAACATGATGGTAAACATAATTCAAAGAGTCTAAATTCATTGGTAAATATCTAGATTCTTATTGAAACCTACTTAAAATCTATCTATAATGTGAATATGCATCACTTTAAAACAACAATAATTTGAACAATGCCTATATTTTCATTTGTTTTTTATCTACCTCATAGTAAATACAGTATAAGCTTTGATTTTTTCAAAAACCTACATTTTTATAATATTGTAAATAGACTTGTACAAATGGAAGTGGTTTAGCACAGCGGCAACGGTTTGGATTCCCAAGCTTGTGGTCGGGGTTTCAACCCCTCTCGCTGTGTATTTCACTTTTATCCTAGAGCAAGGCACTTTATCTGTATTGCTTCTCACCCCCCAGGAGTATAAGTGGGTATCTGGTAGGGTTTAACAATATGCGCTATATAAGTTTTAAATTATTATTATTATTATTAATATTATTATTATTATTATTATTATTATTATTATTATTATTATATTATTATTATTAATTATAATTATTATTATTATTATTAATAAAATTAAGGAGCTTTAGCGTAAGTGAGTCTGATACAACAGTACATGTTAAAACACAAAAGTTAATAATATAATAAACACATATAAATTTTAATTAATATTTAAACAATGCTAAATACTGTATATATGATAAATTAAATACTGTCCAAATTGTTTGAATTATCACACTGCAAGCTACATTTTACAGTTGGCATTCGAACACTAATTAGTAAATTTGTGATTGATAATTAAGACTTATTGCAGACTATTCCTGGTACCCAAACTGTAGCGCTCTTAAACCAACTGTTAACTAAACTGCTAAAATGTTTACATCTCATATGCGTGAACAGAAATATATAACGACACATACATGCATTAATATTTTACAGCAGAAATTTACTGTAGAAGTATGCACTTAATTGATAAATCAGAGTGCTTTATATTTATCAATGTCAGTTAAAGAAGCACCAGCAGCATGCAACATCAATCTCACTTTATTCCATTCTATTTGAAATTCTTTAGTTGACATTTCACACATTACAGGAATTTCAGTCAAGTACTGTATTTTTTTTTCCCTGTCATGTTGTCAACATATCCATGTAAAGATCTAGGATGTTTTCTTTTTAAAAAACGAGGATTACCATCTTGTAGTGCATTCAATGCTGGATGGATTTCAAGGCTTTTCAATGAATCAATGAATTCTTTCATATTCTTTTTGCTGATTATCTGTCTGTCTTCTAGATCGGTGATCATACTCCAGCCATCGGTATACTCCTTACAGGGCATGTTCAGCAATCCATCAATTTTTGTTACATTGTCTGGGGTCAGGTTCATTCCAAACTTCATTAGTTTTTGTCTGTGATGACTGAATTGTTTGGAAATGTTTCCTTCCATAACATCCGGGAATGACGGTAGTAATACTTTAATCTTATGTTGAAGACCAAAATGTTCAGTTGTGCTGATGGTATCATGCAGAATTGTAAGATTCTTGGAATTCAAATGACCATGTTTAACTAAATCATTCAGCAAGTCCACTGTCTTATCTATTTTTGATAGTCTCTCATTGACCACATGATCTCTGAACAACACTTTCAACATAGTAAGACATTTGTGGTTGTCATACCACTTTGCGACATCCATTTTAAGTGCATTGAATTGCGTATCTGTCATTCCTTTGGACCAAATAAAAATTCAAAACATCAATATCTTTACTATATTATATAATTTTGTAGAATGTAGAATTGTGTATGTATAGCAAGCATTACAATTATTGCAACAAAGTGTACTCATTTTCTTAGGAGAGTTCCCCTACGGCAAAACAACCAACATATGCAATGCATTATAATAGGCCTTTTTTTTGTTGACAATCCAAATTGATTTTGTCCAAAATGTAAACAGAGTAAAGTCTGTGCGCATGATGCTGTTGGACCCACTGCATGGTGTATAAACAGATAGTGATAGTCAAGTAAAATACTTTTAGGCCTACATCTAACTATCAACATACTGTACTGTATAAGAGCTTATCTACTACCATGGTTGAACCATGGATGTAATATATTTTCTCCATGGTTGAACTAGGAGAGCATTATTAGCATCATACTGTAAATTCATAATCATGTGTTTGCTAACAGTTAATAATACATAAAATACAAAAAATATACTGTGTGAATGAGTGTGTGAATGTTCAGTGTGTAGACCCACTGAAAACAATGTAAGCATACGTTACTAGTTTTCCTAACAGATTTATAGGTGAGTGAAGAAGCAATAATGGTGGTGGCATGAAAAATCTCAAATTACCTTGAATTACAACATGCTCAGGGGAAGAAGCAGCATGGCCCGTCTTAGCTGAAAAAGTTAATACAAATAAATTATTATATGATTTAAGTTATTATGTGTGCATTTTTTTTGTGTTAAATATCCGACGTAGTTAGTCAATCAATCAATCAATCACAAAACTTGCAAGCCTATAGCGCTGAGTATCCATATAATATGTTCAATGGCACTCAAACAGCAGAGTTTATAGACGCTTCTAAAAAGTAGCCAACTGATAATAATTGCATCAAGCATAGCTCATCATCAACAAGTTCCTTCATTTCAGTTGTATTTAAGAAACTCTCTAGTGGGATTCGAACCTCCAACCTCTAGCTGCCAAGGTGAGTATCAGAGACCTATGGGATATCTTGCAGTTCTAAACCCCCAGGGAGCTGTGGCTAAGCTAGAAAAGCTTATAGAATGCAGAGGGAAAACCTAGTGGATAAAATTCAAATGAATTTGCTGTGTAGCACCGTAAGCAATGTAAACAAATATAAAAATAATAATGACAGTGCTCAAATAAGAACATATTGTAATAATTGTATTGGCACAGCTCATCAACAAGTTTTTTTTTTCAGTTGTATGACAAACGAAGTATCTCTGGCACAGTGGTTTAGCCAAAATTTAAATTTAGGGAGTCAAAACTAAATGTGAAGTACCAGTATTTATCGCGTAGCGACACTCGATGGGCGTAGGTCTGGGAGGGGGATGTCAGCTCCCAGGTAAAAAATAATATTTAAAACCAAGACCTTTCTTATGAACAACCAGGCACAGCAAATAATTTCTACAAAATTTAAACATGAATTCTGTATACGAACAGGGTGCAAAATTTACATTTTTTTAACATGCGCCAAAATTTAATTATTGTTAAACTCGTAATACATTCTAATGTAAAAAATAAACCCTAACTAGCCTCTTGACTTACTAAAAAATGTAGACAATCATGCAAACATGGACCATTTTTTTTTCATTTGCTGGAATTCCATGTTTTTACAATACATTTATTATGTAGTAATAACCTTATATTTATACACTACAAAATCATCTTTCATATTGTGAATGTTGTATGGAAAGGAGCCAATAACTTTGAATAATAGAAATCATAAAAGACAACTTGCTCTGTCTAGGCCACTGGCCTATGAAGCTAGGGTAGGGACCAATGTTTTTCAGCCTTGAGTGATCTACACAAATTCATTTTTAGAGTAATTTTTAACCTTCTCAGGTGCCTAGATTGTGGATTTCATTCAACACAGCTTCTTTGGATAATTGCTTAATATGTATTTTGAAAATTTAATATATCATGTTATGTTTTAATTTGTCACGATGAACATGTGTTAAGCTTGATGTGGTAAATATTGTACTGTACAGTACAAGACTACAGTGAATTACTTTTAATAAAAATAATAGTTTATATTTTTATTTCATATTAAACTTGGGATTTAAGGATGATATACCAGTGCTAGAATTTGCCAAAGCCTTAATGGTAGACCAGGCAAATAAAACTAGACTAGCCAAGTAGACCAGGCCCTCCAAGCTGTCATGGTAAAATTGGCCGTCATAAATCTGTATTTAATAAAAAATAAATCATATTATCTTAGCGACCCTAAATGGCGTTGTGTCTCCATAATAAAATATAAAAACAATTTTTTTATACAAATCACATTCTTAAACCAACCTGTTGAAAAGAGTCGTTTAAAACGAGTCGTTGCAACTAACTTTGTTCTTCCACATGGCACACTATCTTTCATCAAACATTCCTCAAGTTTATGCAGCGGTCCCAGCGTAGGTTCACAGGCATGACAAAGGACGCGTAACTCATAGCCAACTCCTTCTGTAGTAACATACACAGTTTTCATTTGCTGACGGATGTAACTTAATACCTGATAAAAATGAAATAAGATAAAATTATCCTGAAAATTTGTTATGGTCGCATACCAAGGTGTATAAAATCTCAATTTTGTAGGTGTTTTAGGAATGCAACCAAGTCCCCTAAATTGTCCCCTGTCAATGGAAAAGGGGACATTCATTTTCAGATCATCAAAATAAATGAAAACAGTAAAAATAGTCTATAGTATATTACTTTCCAATTGGACGCCCCACAACACTGAATCTAACCCAAATAGCTGTTCCCTTTGACCATATCAGGGATTATAAGCAACCTCCTACCCCATTTGGTTGATTTTTGCACACCCCAACAGCAATCCACAGGAAATCTTGATTCCATTTAGTAAAACCCCTTTACTTAAAACTAGTTAAGTGCAAAACTTATAGCAAACTTTGAATCAAAAGATGTTTTGAGCATTTGGTAAGAATTGGGAATCTGTCTCAGAAGTATTAGTAAGTGGTACACTTTCCAATTGTATGACAAATAGGATTTAAAAGAAGTATATATTGAATTATAATAAAGTTGTTCATTATCTCTTTAATTTCTAATTAAATTTCATCTGTATTCAGTGCATTTTGTGTTTGAACACACCAGTACCCACTTGTACTCTTTGGTGGAAAGAGATAACCACAGGTTAAGTGCCTTGCCTAAGGACACAAACAGGGAAATGAACCTCCAACCTCAAGGTTGAAATGCAGAACTGCAACCGCTGCGCCAAACTGCTCCTACAAAATGACTAGAATAAACAGAATTTGGTTACGGAAGCTTACCTCCATGCAGATGCTAGGATGTGGTTCAAGAATTTTTTCTTTGCCATGTTCATCAACATTCATCCTACGTGATATTTCAATCTGTTTATATACAACATACAGGACATTTTATTGGTCAATGTGTTGTTCACTGAGAAAAGGTCATAGATGCACATAATATATACAAATAATGAATGTTTATGAGTGTAATGGGGTAGAATATTTCACGAGGTGAAAGACTGGATGTTCTTTTCAATGAGGTGAATAGAACATCCAATCTTTCACCTCATGAAATATTCTACACCATTATACGAATGAGAAACATTCATTATATGTTTTATACAACACCGACAGGATGAGCCTCGAAGAATACTAAAAGAACCCATCTTCCTTTCGAAGGCCAGCATTAAACCATCCTAGGCTTAGGAATCGATCAAGTTCAGGTTCGGCTAATAATAGGCTCAAATCCTCATTGCTGAAGCTGGCAAAATACTCCATATGGTTAACTGTGTATGTTACTGCCTATTTTGTTACATAATTAAATATATATCTATATATAATTCAGTATATATTTTATAACATAATTCTACATTTTTATTACATTAATAAAAATATGTTTAAACTTCAGCATTGCATCTTACTTTCAATGCATGTCTGTTCTTGATTCTGACAGCTCCTAGACTCACAACATGCTCATCATCTAAGTAAAAGTCACTTCGATTCTGAAACAATTCCACATGATCACCACTCCTACATTTGTCCTTCATCCAGTCTAAAAATGAAACGACCAGTACATTGTAGACAGCATCCGGAAGGAAATCTGTGGGAGTCACATAAAACGATGCCGTTTGCTGCTTGTCTTCCCTAACTTTCAAGCCCTCTTTATTGATTTGCATCCGAGTGGGAACAATGAAGATTCTGTTACCAGGTTGAGATCCCTTTGAAAACAAGAGGACTGATGTAGAATATTATGAATCTCAAAAAAATTTGAAAATTAGAGGTAACAGAAGGAACCATTAACTGAAGGCATGTTGGCACAGCGGCAAAGCTTTGCAATTTCAAGAGAGAGTTCGGTCAGATTGCTTGTGCCCTTGGAAAGATAATTACATTTTTATCTCTTCATCCAGGAATAAGAATGCGCTGGTATGAAAACGGCAGCGCATGTTCAAGGTTGCTGCCATATTGGTGCAGGACCAGGCAACACCCCTCAGGCAGCTTTTTATACTCCTTGGTAGAGAAAAACAATGTAGATAAAGCGCCTTGCTCAAGGACACAAGTGAAATGAACAGGAAAGTATTAAACCTCGACTTTAAGGTTGGGAAACCAAACCGTTCCTGCTGCGCCAAACCGCTATAAATCCTGTAAAATAGTGATAATGACAATTGTATAACCAGAGCCTTGCAGGCATCAACGTTCCTATACATGATACATGACTTTATCAGAAAATATAAGGTTGGGTCAAATTTGTGTGGTGGTTTAATTTGAACAATTCAGGAGTGAGTTTTTATGGTCCAAAATAGTGATATTGATAGGCAAATTACAATATTAGAATAAAAAAAACACATTTCTTTTTTTTTTTTATTTTGTAGGCCTATACAGTATTTTCATTTTACAGTAGTTTGAAACGATATCGGGGGTGGGGGAGCTGGCATGTCCTACTAGACAACAATATATTAAACCACCTTAGCAGGCATCAACTTTATGCACTATAATAGTGAAGTTATGTGACTGAATTTTATACACAAAATATTTCAATTAGAAAAGATATTTAGGCCGTTTGCTGTGTTATGCTGTGGTTGCGAAAATGTTGGCCTATAGGCCTACTTAATACATCAACTGTGATACTTTTATCACTATGGAGTGTTTTTAACTTTCGCAGGGACGTATCCAGGGAGGCGCTGCTTCCCTCTTCCCCTCCCCCACACCTTCGTACACAGTTTTAATACAAATTCTTTTAAATCGCTCAGACTCATTAATAGCAATCAACAAAACTTAAACTTTTTAAGTAAACAGTTAGGGTCAAATGTCTGTGTAAAAAAAATATATATGGCAAAAATAAAATTACAGTAATATAATAATATTTGGTTTTATTTCAAAATTATAATTTACTATAAATGCAGTATCAATAAATACAATATTTTGTTATGTTAGTACTGTTTCCACGAGTATGTTAATGACACCTTGATATTTTCCACAAGGGCAATGTGGGCCAGAATGACAAGATAGAATGCAATGGGAATAAAGTGATGGATGGCTAGTTAGAAAACTAATACCAAGGGTACCATTAGGCATGTCAGTAAAACAAAATGTCCGAAAACTTTTCCTGAAGATGTCCACACACACACACACACACACTTACATGTGAAGGACTACAACCAATGACATTGTTATATGGAACCAATTAATGTTGGAGAAGATGGTTATATGGAACCCATTAAAGTTGGAGAAAATGGTTACATGGAACCACCTGCACACATTAAAGATCCATATGAACAAATCAACAATAATGCTGATTAGGATTTTTATATTAAATTTATTTGGAATATTAACAAAATATGTTTTTAGACAAGGTTCAGTTTTTTTAATGTAATTTATACCGTGATCTATAAAAAATGAAACCATGAAGGTAGACATAAAGTACTGGTAGGTGATTTTTTAATTACCAAAACAGACAGTGTTGACTGAATGCCAGGCCCGGTTTGACAGCGCTAGGCTAGGCCTACACACCCAAAACCTTGGTACTATGTGTAAAATTCCCAGCTTTCGAGTGGCCTGTTACATATACGGGTAAATTTTAGGTACGTCCCGGCACTACGGGGACACAATTATGTGTACATCCCTGGAATTGCCCGGGTCTGGGGGGGGGGTGCTACAATTGACAAGTGCATTATTAATAACTAGGCTGTTCAACAGTGAGACATGAGCTCAGAGGCATGAGCTGGGAGAAGGGTTTGAGAGGGGTCCCCCTCCAAAATTAGACTTTTTTTGAAGAATAGGAACCTCTGAATGGCGGGAAGTGGCACTCTCAAGACTGTGACAGACATGTTTCCACTTGGTGTGGGTCTATTTTTATATTTTTTATGGTTTCACTGCCCAACAAGCTCTGTCAAACATGGGGAGGGGGGGTTAAGATACAAGAGAAAGAAATTTATGAGATTGGTAGTGTTGGATTTGTGGATTTCTATTCACATTCATTAAATATTATTCAATTATAAATATTATAAGGAAGCATATGTTACCTCATCCAAGGAAACACAGAGTCTTGTTTTTCCAACGTCTTGTACTTTGGACTGGAAATCAACCCAAGTAGTGGGAATAGGTTTTGCCGTTGCCTTCATGTATTTTCCGACATTCTTCTTCAATTTCTCAATCCCTTCATCCATAGCCACAGTGTTATCTACAACATACATCTCACGATCCACATGGCTTTCATATGGTGTTCCTTCTATCTCATCAAATATTCTTTTGAACTTGGTTCTGATCTTTGAGCAAAATTTAAAGTATTAGTAAATTTTTTGAAGATTTCAAGAAAAAACACAGCAATTCTACTAAAAAACAGAAAATGTCTCACCAGCTTGTCATTTTCTGACTCGGTCCCCAACAGTTTATCTTTGTGTGTGGCAACTAAACTTATCGTTGGTGAGGATATGCCATTGATTAACTTTTGTGTCCTTTCACGATAGGGTAGTACAGCGTGTTCGTATATTGACCGCATCCAAAACACATTCATCTGAAGATTTGTCATTTCAAATTGTCCCTGAAAAAAGTAAACAATTTCCACATGAGTTTCAAAATGGTATATGATTAATTGATGAATTAAAACTAATTAAGGTTAAACAACTGCAATGAAGATTAAGTGGTGTATTTACTTGCTGGAAATCTCTTGGTGTTGCAAGGGCATCCAAATCATCTAACACACTGAATACAACACAGTAGGATGATCCATCTGTCAGAAAAAACTAGGAAGAAGAAGAAACAAATTTAAACTTAAAAAATAATTTAAAAAATCAGGCATGTTACAAACAAACAGAGGGGTGGCGCAAGGATTTGCAATTGGAGGAGGAATAATGACGTCCCCGATGAGAGGAAAGTGGCTGTGGTCGGCCGTCACAAAATCTCTCAAAGTTTTCCAGGGCAAGAAGCCCCGAAATATATTACAATTCAATGGGGTTCAAATGCTTATTCAATCAAATGCATAATATAAAGTCAATTTTTACTAATATGCAGAAAAATGGGTTTTTTTTCACGATGAATTGGGACTTTTCTCCAGGCCCCAATGGTGCCACCCCTGACTGATCATTGAAAAATGAAGTCACTTAACAAGAGAGATTGAAATCCTGCAAATACTGCAAGAACTGTTATATACAGGTACACAGGCAACACAAAAAAATAATATTTGATGTGAACCACATATAGAGGGTGACACATCCAGCTAAGGCCAGAAATTCAGCTGATATTCAGGAGCTTTTTTGAATAAATATAAACTGTGATGTTCTATAAACTAATTTTCAACATTAATGTTAATGGCTCCTAAAAGGATTGAAACCTAGGAAAATGGGAGTGGAAGTCAACCACCTTTACCACGAGACCACTGCTCCACTACTCAACTAGAGTCGCATGCCAAATCACAAGAAAACATACAGTAATTTTGAAATATAGCTTTCAGTAGAATTTATTACTTACTCTGTGTGATATATAGTAAGTCAGCTGACCAGCATAGTCCCAAATGCATGTGACATCACTTGGTACAAAACTCTTGTCAAATCCCTCCCCAGAAGCACTTAATTGTTCTAATGGGTTATCCGGATGGACACTGGCAGATTTAGCAAGTTTAGCAACAAGTTTCTTATGAATTCCTTCTTCAGGGAGTTTACTGGTATAGCCTGTCATACTTCTTGCTGCTTCTGATGGCATCTGTAATTAAACATTTAAGAATCACTAATCTAGGTCAGTTCAAAATGTACACAGCAATTCGAACCAGTGATTTTCATATTAGGCTGACCGCTAAGTAAAAAATACATATTCAAAATTTAAAAGAACATTTTTCAATAAAAGTTTTTAAAGTAATTTTTGAATATTAAAATAAATAAAAATTTACTGTTGAGGAGGCTGTAGAACTGGATGATGCAGAATTAGATGAGTTTTGATGGCTTTTTGGCTGCTTCAGCCTTTTGGCGACATTTTCTGCAATGGTATGCTCACGTATCTGCTTGGTTAATTCACAAACTGTACAATCTGTCTCTTATACACATCTAGATGTGTATAAGAGACAGGGGAAAAGGGTTTGAGAGGGAGTCTCCCTCCAAAATTATAATTTTTTTGAAGAATAGGAACCTCAAAACATGTCATCAAAATAATTCATAAAAATAACAGTGTATAATATTTAGACAGTATATTTGTAAATTAAATTATGTATCTTTCAAAAAGTGTAATATTCATACCATCCACATCCTTTTGTTCCTTCCATTTGATGAAATCTCCATTAACAGTATAAAATACTGTTGTTGTTACAATACCATCTGTTGATGGTTCGTTGTTTTTAAATCTATTGACATTTAGATAAATATAATAATAATAAAATAATTTATTAAATAAATATAATTATACCAAATAATAATTTATTAAATAAATATAATTATACCAAACCAATGAATACTTGGAAACAGGAAAAATGTAAAGTTAATTATATTATATGCAATGGATTTATAAATTTAAGTAATGACATACTTATACCAAATTTTTTCGTTAACTTTTAAAATAATATTTTGAAATTAACCTTGCTTTTATAACTTCAAAATCAGCAACAGAGTACATAGTACTGTCCAAACAATCAAAACTATATAATATATCCTTAGTTTTGCATTATAAACTTATATTCACAATCAAATATACACAGGATAATTACTACTGTATATGCCAAGTTTTCATCCTTACATTAGGTTTTTATTCGAACATTAAATTAGTTTTTGAATAACAGTTGAAATAGCTACAATAAAGTGCGACAAGCTCTGGAGGCACTCAGTAAGAAAATGGTGTCATATGTACCATGCTGTAGTAATGTGTTGTGTGTGTCTGTGGTGTAGTACTGTACTCAATGCATACTAAGTGAAAAATTAAACCCTTTTAAAATTACAGCTATATCAAGAGCCAATGGGCAGAAATGCCCTTTTAAAATCTTTTAAACAATTGCAAAAAAATCCTAGATAATCAGTCGCCTAGGAGTGATAAACATATATGATACTATAAGAATGTTGTAATACTGTGGCTCTGACTGCAAGCCAACAGACTATACAATTACCTAAAAAACAAGGTTTTATTCTGTACTTACACTTTGCCAAGCATGGAACGGACACAACTTGTTTTGCCCGTTCCTTCTTTGCCCAAGAACATGACTCTGGAATTAACCATCGTAATTTCCCCATTCTGGACTTCATATGTGAATGCTTTAATGGCTTCAGGACCTCTTGCTAATATTTCTCCTGGAACTGATAGCTCTTATGGATATAAAATATAACAAATATTATTTAGTATACTACAGTATTATTCTTACGCTACATATTTCTTCCATCCATTTTATAGTTTACATTAAACATACTGTGATTATTTTGTTCACAAAAAATTACCATCACAGTAAAAACTGATTTCTGAAAATAACACATCAAAATATGTAATGTTATATCAAGGTGTTGAAACACTGAGAGACTTAACTACTTCTAGAACATAAACAGGTCAAACAGAAAATAACATTAAAATAAAAAGTTTTAAGAATAATACAGGAACTGAAATATATGAGTACAAATGTATAGTATTCTTATGAACCATATGCATATCACAGGATTGATTTTTGCCCTTTGACACGACCTCCAGATAACAATGATTGATAATTTTTTACTTACATTGTACATTAACCTTTTTAATTTTGTAGTATTTTTTGCCTCAAATTTTCCACACGTTAAGTGAAGTTTGTTTTTTTTGTTAAAATTTGGTTTACTTTACTTTTCTATTCTTTTACTTTAGATTCATCGTTGTTGTGAAGAATGCAGATAATTTGATCAATGTTTCCACTAGGTCTGTGCTACAGCCAGACTACTGAAATAACTGTAATGCTGTAAAAATAAATAAGTTGGACTTGTAGAGCACATCTATGCAGAAAAGCCTCTATGCATGGATCGCATCCATTGAGCGCATGTAGTAGGTGTGGCTTTGTTTTTACTTTTTCTTTCAGTGACAAATTTTGTGGGCAGTGTACACTTGCAATGGGATATACATGGGAAATCCAGAGATATTAACAAGAGGGCAGGGGCTGAGTCCAAAACATCAGAAATCTTTTTCCTCTAAAAGTATGAGGTGGTATTTCCAGCATCTTGCAGGAGCGATTACTGTCATACAATTGTTTTGGAATATTTAGAATACATTGTTGTGCCATTGCTTGATTTCAACCATAAAAATCATAGTAAAATACAGTTTAAAATATTCAGTTTCTATTTATACTAAAAATATATATTGTCTATTTTCAGGTATGTTTCATTTTCATCTTATGCAACACTTGGTTAAAATTAATTTCAATTGACAATAAAGTTGATATATTGACTAATTATATATTTACCTTATGTCTTCCGTTTTAAAAAGTCATCCTAATAAGGGGCTGAGGTCAGGACCCACAAGACCTCCACTGAGGTGGCACCCAATCAGCTATTAGTACTTTAGGTATAGCCATGCCTAGAAAGCTATATAGCTGAGGCTTATGATATGATTCTTCCAAATAAGGCAAGCTCTGTGATTTTTGCAAATGAGGTTCAGGAGTATTTAACGTACAACAGAAAACTTACCTATGAGCAATTTTTTAAGTTCATCTTTTTTTTCCTTCTTTGTTGATACTTCGTATTGACTACATTTATTACGATCATAATAATCAAGAGGAGTTAATCCTTTCTGTAATAAACAAATCATATGACTTATAAATGATAATGGTGAAAATAATAATTCAAAGGAATAACCAACACTATCAGTATCACAATATTTATTGGTTCAAGAATAATTGATGAAATTCATTTGTATAGAATGGAAATCAATGCTCTTATGTATTATGTTGGTTTTGGTTATTAGGAATGTTTGTATTATTGTAATAAAGACATTAACTAATCCTTCTGAATCATTTCTATTTTCTATACATTACATGATCTTTCTTGTAGACTGAGGCTCCATATGTTATCAAGCACAATGCCGTTTCTCGCTGTTCATCATAAGTACCCTGAGCACGTAGACAGTAATGTAGTGGTGTTAGTCCAGAAACGATACGACCTACAAAATGATACTCAATGTCAGAACACATGAAAACTAATTACTGTATATGACATAAAAGTAAACCGAGATGAAATAATGCAGTGGCGGATCCAGGAATTTGAAATAGAGGGGCCCAGGACAGATGGAGGGTCTCAGGACAGAAGGAGGATGGAGGGTCTATACCACCTCAGCCCCACCATGGTTATGGCTAAAATAAGAAAATTTACAATTATGGTACCTCTAGATAGTTGGAAGTGAAACTCTCAGACTTAAAATTTGAAAATTTTCTTTCTTTCTCCAATTTTTGAAGGGGGGCACATTCTCCATTAAATTGAAAAATTTAAAGGGGGGTGGGGGAGGCTGGGCCAGTGTAATATATAATTATTATTCTGAATGATCACTTACTGTAACTGTATTAAGAATATTAAAACAATGATTATAGTAACAACAGTAATAACAACAACAATAATGACCAATATAATTAATCATTACAGCCTTGTCTAAATTGATTGTGCAGGGTCCTCATAGTGGTGACACCAAGAGGTAATCACTTTTTCCAAAGAGTGCACTGCATTGTTCAGCATAAAATAACAATAATGAATAATTATAAGATCTATAAAGCGCTCATACTGTATCCACTGCAGTAGCGCTCAAGGTGCTACGGAAGGAGAAACCAAGATTACATTGAACCTTAAATCTGTATCAGAAAAAGAAACACCACACACATCATTATTGCTTTTATGCCTTTTTGCTTGGAATTTTGAGACCTCTTTTATCCCATTTTTACCAATTTAACTTTTACAATTTTAACCTTTATATTTTAACATTTTATGATGTAATGTATGTTTTGTGTATTTTAGTAGGTGATTGCATCATCAAGTTTTGCTTCTCACCATATTATTCTACTATGTACACTTAGTTAAGAATTGTTTAATCTTCAACAAAACTATCTCAATACTTGACCACTTTGATCTCTGTCAGATTTCACTTTGTATATTACAGCATAAAAGATTAGATAATTGGCCTGTAATCCATCTACATCA